GGGGGGGGGGGGGGGGGCAAAGCAAAAGGCACATGCTCGCGCGCGGAAGAAAGGGGTCCGAACGAGCCATAGGGGTCAAGTGGTCACGGCCAGGGGAGACGACAAAGTATGGCGGAGTCTTTGAATACTGCTGGGGGGCTTACGGGCGAGCCTTTCTGGCCAGGAGATAAGATACCGTCGGAGACTATGATGCGGGGACAGTGCACGATGGGCCGATCGTCAGGGGACAGAGAAGGATCGACAGACGCGCGCCGATCAATTTGCAAAGGGAATGCAAGATCGAGGGGCTCGAGCAGGCGCGAGCGTCCGAGCAGTGGAGCACGGCGCGGCGCGCCTCCGACAACTCGAGGTGCATTTGACAATAGATACGCTCTCAGGACTGTCCTTCCACCCCTGGACTACGAAAAGTCCTGCGCAGAGATGAAGTCGCGCTTCCAGCGTGAGCTGTCGGTCGATGACTGATGGTCCACGAACGGTGCCGAGCCCATGGCTGCTTGATGGTGAGCAGCGTATTCGTAGGGCTGTGGCGCGGTGTAATGCGCATGCTGGGTGTGCAGCCACGGATTATGATGCTGACCCATCTCCATCGCGACGGCGCCTGAGCCGGCATGCATTTTGCGATGGTACTCGTCATACGATGGCGGGGGCGCGACCGACGAAGAGCTCGAGGAGATGGCGCTGTTCGCTGCTTCTTCCGGGTGAGCTGCATACATTTGGACACCCAGCGCATTTTGTCCATGAAGATTGTGCGATGGGTACGGCATCTGATAATTGTGGCCGCCATACGAATGTTGCGGATAGCCCATCCACGGCGAGCCTGTCTGTGGCGAGGCGCTGAGCGGCAGACTGACCGAGCTCGCGGAAGCATTCGGTGACATCGAAGCAGTCTGCGGTGATCCTTGAGAGTTCGCTGCGTGGTGCAGCATAGCTCCTGCGCCGCGATTCCAAGCGCTCTTGTTCGCGTCTTCCGCAAGCTCAGCATCGATCAGACTCGACATGCTAGGGTTGCTGGTAGCATGAAGGTGCGCGGGCATGGCGCTTCTGTGACTGTGGCTACTCATAGATGGGATTGTGGATGAGCCGTCAGTGTTGTATTCGACACTGGCGCTAGCCGTGCTTCCGTCTGGACGAAGCTTTGACCCTCGCAGGCCTCGGGAGCTTCCATAGCCACGACGTCGACCGCGCGCGCGAGCGGCGAGTAGTCCTTGACCGGAATTTCTTGTAAAAGTATCCGTGGTGCGATCTTCCTTGTAGCGCTTTGTTGGGCTCACTTGGGCATACTGACGACATGGCCGCACGATCGCACATCGTCAATAACTCGAGCTGGACATCATGATCGATGGCGACTCACAACGCATTCTTTGTTTGCCTTCTTGCATCGATCGCATTGCATGCCACCAGAGCACTTGGCCTTGCGCTGAACGCCAAATCGAGAAGCAGGCAGACGTGGTAAGCGACGAGAGTAGCTCGAGTTACAAAAGTTCGCTGTGGGACTCACCCGTCGACACAGCTCACATGCTTGTGAAGCTCGCTCCACAGGTGGATAGAGCTGCACTAGTCGGCCGTCCGGCAGACGGCCAAGATGCGAGTGAGGTGTTCCATGCGCGCCGATGGCACCGACGGGTGTGAACAACGGCACCACGTCCGGGTGAACCGGACCAGCTAGCTGAGCCGTTGCCAATTCAGCCTCGGATACTTGAATCGCTGCAGCTGTGGCAGCCGGATCGACAAGAGGCAGAACACCGCGTCCACCTTTCGGATGGCTAGCATCTTCGTGGAAGCTGCCTCGTAGCTTTGCCTGTTCTAAGTTTTGAAGGTGATCATCCTGGAAGATGCCGGAGGCATCAACGAGCGGTGAGCTCGTCCGAGCTCTCCGATCAACATTCCACTCTCCCGAAAATGAAGGACGCAACCCAAGTGAAAGATCTGGGTTTCCCAGAGACGGCGTGTTTGGGAGTGACGTTGGGACGTGTCGACTCTCGCCGTCGCCATCGTCGGTAGCAGGCAGTGCGGCCCGAAGTCGCGGCATGCTTGGGGACAAGGACGTGAGCAGGACAAGCGTGTCGTTCTGCGAAGGGCCGATCAGGCAGCCGTGGTAGAGCTAGAGCGTCAGATGCAGAGCCTGTCAATACGCGTCGGTCGGACGATAGAGCCACCACTTTGACGACCCTTCCAAAGACGAAGGCTTCCCGAATACGCACGCCCTCTCTGCGCGAACGATATTTGCGTTTTGTTCCCGCTGCAGTCGCGTTTGTGACAGTCTTGTAGGGGCTTGTTGAACACGACTGCGCGACCGTGAGCGGGACCAAAGCGATCACGTCTGCGTAGAAAGGAAGGGGATATTCCTGTGCGGGCCGCTCCGGCGCCTCCAGAGATCCCGTGACAGGCGATCGGCGGTGAGTAAGCCGTCGTTCGCAACGGAGTTTGGCGCTCTGTCTGAAGCGGCGGGAGCTATGCGGACGTCGAACGCGAGAGAACTAGACCTTGTCAAAGCGGGAGGTGGTGGTGAACCTGACGACGACGCGACGTTTCCCGGTCGACATGATAACGTTGCATTCAAGAGTAGATGCTCGTCTTTTGATTGCCAGGTGGTTCGCAGTGGCAGGGCTGACCTGCTGTGGAGTGGCGAGGAGGTAGCCCAGCGGAATCTGTTTTGGAACCACCTAGTTTGTGCTCAAGCAGGGTCAGACACAGGGGAAGACTGGCCTCTGGCCTCCTAGCAGATATCGCGCCGCCAGCTGCTGCTCTTGTGAGAAATAGCGCGACTCGTCAGTGCGCAGACATTCGACGCAGAATCCACTCTCGCATAAGCCCTCCCAGGGAGCAACATGCGACATGAGGTATGTCGCCGAAGCAATTTGTCGAGATTTGAGATCGGAGCACAAGCACGGTGGCAGCGCACGTACCCGATAGTCGGCAAGCAGCTCCTGACCACCAGGCCGTGCCACGCATAGGGGTCGTCATAGCCCATGGATCTGGTTCGGAGCTCTACTTGAAAACCCCTGGTACTCCGCTGCAGCAATGTTCATTTCAGCATCGATCTTGGTAAGGAGTGAAAGAGAGGACCTGGACGGTGCCAAACTGGGGGCGGCGGATGACTGCGCTTCCGTGCTGTGCAAAGGGTGGTCAATCATCCCATCAGTGTCAAATCCTTTAGGCGCAATTGCTGTCAATTTGCTGCAGATGCGCCAAGTTTCGATCCAGCACTATGGGAGAAGTGAAAGCGCCACTCGGGTGGCTATGCGAGTCGACTCTATGTATGACGGAATGAGCTGCCAAATGATAACGCGGTCCCGGGCGCCAACGACGAAGGATAGCCTGGCCGTCGAGGCGGACGCGGCAACCCTCGACACTGCTTTGCCAACCGAGATCTCATGGCTACAGAGAACGCTGAGACGGAAAGGGGGCCGACCTTTCGAATGACTGCAGCATCTCACACTGCGCCTTTGCCCCTTCGCTGATCTATGGAAGCCGGGCGCTTTATTTACCTGTCTGCGCAAAGGCGTTTGCTTTCCATCTGTGCACGAAGCGTCGCGTGTGAAATTAGGGATGGCCGATGTGGAAATGTTTCCAAAGAGGGCCTAT